GTGCCAGTGGCCGAGCCGCGGGGAGCGGGCACCGGGCGCAGCACCGGGCGCACCCGCACCAGCGCCATGGAGGCCGTGGGTCGCTAGGAGGAGCATGGCGTGGACCGCTTTGGTCGTGGGCTCCCTGGCGGGGCTCATGGCCGCCTCGGTGACCGCGCTGGAGGACAGCGGCTACTGCAGCCTGTGTCCGGACCACACCATGTGCCAGTTCAGGGTATGCCCGTGTAGCTCAGGGGATCATGCAGGACATACAGGATGGTCCACAGACCTCTTCCTTTATTTTGCTCATACTTTACCGCATGCATGCGTGCGGGCGGGCTTGCCCACCGTCGCTCACAATGGCCCCTTGTGAGTATGCTACCCGGCCGCACATTTGCATCCGGTACAGTATAAGCAAAATAAAGAAAGGGGTCTGTAGAACTACCTGTACATCCGCCAATGTTCGCCGTTTCTAAACTGCGAACAAGTTCAGCAGTTCAGCCGATTGAAGCTGCCATAGCGCCTGGTAGATAGGCAACATCTTGCATTCAGGGCATGCGTGTACTGCAGCGTAGCCTACCCCGAGCCTCGCAGGCGCTAAGCCCTATAGTCTCTTGCAGGCGCCGAGCTTCAGTCAACTTTGACGAGTGAATCCGAGAAAAACAGACGTACTTTGTGGGCGATTCCTGTCCCACCCTGCCCCCAAATCAAAGCGCCCACCCCCATCCCCACCCCACACTCACTGACCCGGCCGCCGGTCTTCCCCTTTCCAGGAGCCAGCGAACCGGTGCCGCAGTTTCTACAGCCGCGACCTCACCTGGGCGGAGCGCAAGTCGGCCGTCCACGCGCACAACATCCTCCGCAACCGGGTGGCCGCCGGCGAGGAGTTCCGCGGCCGCTACGCCCAGCCGCAGCCCTCGGCCGCCAACATGCGCAAGCTAGTACGGGCTGCAAGAAGCCCGGACAGCCGGCAGCAGCGTGCATCGCAACAACTTTCGTATTTGGAAACAAATTATAACAACTTTCTTTTTCGGTGCCCTTTTTTGGTAGGTCTGGGACGACGAGCTAGCCGCGATAGCCCGCCGTTGGGCGTCGCAGTGCGTCTTCGCTCAGGACTCGTGCCGCACTAGCGGTGAGTAGCCCCATGGCGCAGGGCCGCTCACCCACACGGAGGGAAAAGTTCGGGCCGTACGCCCAAAAGTTTGTACAAATTTGACAAAAAAAATACTATCCAAAGTCAGGCGTGGTCACCAGGGGTTCTGGTGCAGTGTCTAAAGGTTTCGGTCTGACAACGAAACTGATTAGGTGTACTGTTAAAAAGGACAATCCAAACTTGTTGTCTGGCCGGAAGGCCCGCGGCGACCCCGCCTTTAACCCCACCCGCCTGCCCGCAGCGGACGGCTCGCGCGTGGCGCAGAACATCTACATGCAGATGGTGGCGCCGAACGCCCCGCAGCCATCCAACGTGAGCGTGGCCGGCGCGGTGGCCACGTGGTACTCCGAGGTGGCTGACTTCGACGGCCGGACCGCGGGGCAGCCCTACGCGTGAGTTCGCCGAAGCTGTCGTGCTGTGGCTCCGTGAACATGTCCGGCAACGCATTCGGTCCGCAGGTACAACGGCCCCGCCTGGCACTACACCCTGCTGACCTGGGCGCGCACCACCCGCGTGGGCTGCGGCTTCGCGGACTTCGCGGCGCAGAGCCCCGGCCAGATCCCCGTGCTGGCGCGCCTCGTCGTGTGCAACTACAAGGAGGCCGGCAACGAGCTGGGCGTGCCGCTGTACGCACCGGGCCCGCCGCTGTCGCAGTGCGAGGTGACCTCGCTCGCCCTGCCGCCGCCCGCCGCGCCCCCGGCCCTGCCCGCCGTCGTGCAGCCCGTAGTGCAGGTGGGCGCGGCGCCGCCCTCGGAGCCGGACCCGGCCTGGGACCCGGACTCGTGGGTGTCGACGCTGGACGACCAGGACGCGGGCCGGGCGGCCCGGGGGCCGACCAGGAGCGCCGCGGGTCGGGCGGTCCTGAAGGGTCGCCTCGCCCCCGCCCCCGCCTCTGGGCGCAGTAGTAGTACGGATGACGACGCGGACGTGGACGGGCTCCTGTACCCGGCCCTCTGCTCGGTCACCCCGTGACAAGAACCGGCCGTTATTTAGGGGGAAAGCAATAACACGATTCGTTTTGATTGCGTGACATCCATTTTATTGCATGATTCACGCTCTGATTATGTGTTTTTGGTTTTGGTCTTTTGGTATCGAAAACGATTGTGGTCATGTGGGCTGAGTCAGAGCGCCACGACGGGCGTCTTGGTGCGGCGGCGGACTTAGGCGCACAGGCCGGTGTAGGTGGAGTCCTTCTTGGTGCCGGAGGGGCACTTGGAGGCGGGGGTGCCGGCCTCGTACATGGTCTGGCCGATGAAGTTGCCGCCGGGCTTGTAGTTGCAGACGACGATGCGCGCGTTCCAGTTGCGGCCGCTCTGCACGGTGGAGTAGTCGGCGTAGCCGCAGCCCACCTTGTAGGTCTTGGCCCAGGCGACCTGGGTGTAGTGGCCGGTGACTGCGCCGGAGGTGCTCCTGTGGACGGGACGGGTTGGGTCAGCCGGGCACAGGCCACGCGGGGGGACCATCCAGCTGGGTGCGGAGCCGCCGGGCGCGTAGGCAACTCGAGAGCGCGGCTGCGCGCTGGTCAGAGCGTTGCCTACGCTTCCGGCGCGCTCCGCTGCTGGGACGCGACGGTTCGGCTCGGCAGGGTTGCAAGAAAGGGAGGGGGGAGGGGGAGGGGGACTCACCTGAAGTTGACGGTGTTGAGGGAGCCGTCGCGGTCGTCGACCTCGTCGTACCAGTCCTGGACGGCCTTGGCCCAGTTGGGGGCGGCGAGGGTGGCGGAGGAGGCTTCCCAGAAGATGTTCTGGCCGCTGTACTCCTTGTCCACTGGGGAGGCGATGGCGAGGGTTAGTTTAGTGGTCCAGAAGAACCTCAATAACTTGCATGGAGAAGCTCTTTCCCTACGGCCAACGACTACTTACGGGTGTTCCTGCAAGAGTCGTGGGCGAAGTTGCACTGGTTGGCCCAACGCTGGGCGATGGTAGCCAGCTCGTTGTCCCAGACCTGCTCGATGAGATGAGACAAGCATTTTAGGTCCCGGCCATTGTAAAACCACCATTTACCGTTTTATTCGGAAAATATGAAGACTATTTTCCGCCCATCCCTACCCCAGTTATGGGCGCGGGCGCGTGACCACGCGGTGGCACTTAGCGTTCGAAACAGGCGACACGCTCGTCGTGTCGCCGAAACTCGCGTATGACTGGCTAAAATCGATCTTTGCTCATGAGAAGCGACTTTTGGAAAAACGAGGAGACATCAAACAACAACCATTATTTGACAAAATTCGGTAATGTGTTTCTGAGACTACAATAATTTAAAACCGAACAAATAATGTCGCGCCCACCAGTTGTGGTTTTGATTCAACCACGTTATTCTAGTTAGAGGATGGTTGCGACTGCTTCTCGTCCGTCTCCAGACACTCACCATCTTCCTCATGTTGGCGGCGGCGGGCTGCCTCTTGGTGCCGCGGGTCTCCTTGCCGAGGGCGACCTTGTTCCTGAGCTCGTTGTGGGCCTTGAGGACGGCGGCCTTGTCGGTGGAGGTGAGCGCGGCGGACTTGTAGTTCTTGCAGGCGCTGCCGGCGGCGGTGGTGGTGTACTTGCAGAGGGTGTGGTCCTTGCACACGCTGCAGTAGTCGGCGGCCGAGGCCAGGGCGGCGAGCCCGACGACCAGGAGGAGCTTGAACATCTTGAGGGCTGTGACAGTGAACACTGACGACTCCGCCGCCGACCGTCTGCTATTTTATAATGAGAAGTGCGCGCCCTGCAGCGCGTTGCGCTGGCGTTTGCACAGGTGCGTCTGCAGGCTTTGCCGCGGCCTGCGCTTTCCCCTCTCTCCCTCCCCCGCTCGAGACCTAAGAAAGGCGTCCCCCTGCACTGTACACAGAGTCATGACGTCGTGTGTTTGTGACACTTTTATTATTTCTCCCTACTGCTGCGTTGTCGAGCCGCGTCCAATTCATCAGTACAGCAGGTGCCTTTATCCGGAACAAAAGCGTTTGGCTTTTCGCCGCAGCGGAGTCTGTTATCTTGGGCTGCTGCGCCAGACGTGTGCTCAGCCACGGTGGTGATGCTGCCGCCCCGGGGCTCCAAGGGCGATGCCGTGCGCTAGCGGCGCTAGTCGTAGTACGTGTACTTCTGCACCCAGCCGCCCGGGTGGCGCCGAATGTGCCGGCGACGCAGCTCGTCCGTGCCCAGCATGAGCAGGCTGAAGACTAGGGCGGGTACCCAGTACACCAGCGGCAGCGGCTGCACGCGCAGGAAGTAGCCGACGTCCTCCACGTAGATCACGATGCACATCAGAGCGATCTGGCGGCGGAGCATGCCAGAGGGGTAGGGTGAGAGGAGAGGAGGGTAAAGGAAAAGATTCCGATAAAAAAAGAAAAACAAACTCGACAAACACGAATCACGGTTGGTTTGGCTCGACCTCGGTGACCTTGGTTTCAAACAAACTTAGAATCAAACATACCGACGTGGACGGAAACTCATCCATGTATTGCTGTGCAAATATTATCGGTGGTATACCAGATGGTGTCCCGCCTGTTACCGGTTTGCATTAAGTACATGAGTACCTTTCCAAACCATTGCCGAACTGCTTTCTGCGTGATCGAGCTCATTGCGTCACTGTAATACGAAACTCAAACGCAAAGGGGTCGTTTTTGAAGGTGTCCTTGTATAGCACCCAACGCGAAGTATAATTCCATTCGACGCCATCATAACTTTCCCCTCCCGGCCACCCCTGCCGCGGACGTCCCGACGTGCTGACCCCCTCTATCACCCCCTCTGCGCTGCGGCCGGCCCCCATTCCCCACTGCCACGGCACGCCCTGGTATGCCCTCTTTATCACCGGGCATGCAAGCCGCATGCGCCGCAACACACTCCATTTCACAGAGATGATGACAACAACGGCGACGTCTCGCTATAATAGCTTCTTTTCCTGACCTGCGACGCGATCGCCGAGTTGAGCTGCCAGTTGGTGAAGCCCCTGGACAGGAGCGAGTCCCGCCGGCAGCGGCACATGAGCAGGTCGGCGATCTGCGTCCAGACGATGGCCAGGAACGTGGCCGTCTGCGCCATCTGGTGCAGCACCCGGCGGTGCTCCTCCGTCCACTCCTGGAGAACGAGAGGGGTACTTCACTGTAAATTAAACCCAGTGCTTTAATTTACAGTTGATTATTCTGTTATTTTTTCTGTTTTTTTTTAATTTTTTGATTTTTTCTTATTTTGGAGGGGGTACACTGATTTTTTGAAAGTACCCCTCGATTGACCCGGACTTGCCCTCCGGACGACAAGCAGCGCGTTGGTCCTGCGTCCCTTACCCTCCCGAACGCGTCCTTGATGATGACGCTGGGGTCGTCCCAGTCGGGGCCGGCGTGTATGAGCGAGGCGGGGCTGAAGCCGCTGTCGATGAACACGGTGTAGTAGGAGACGAGCGCGGCGGCGGCCTGCACCCCGCCCACCTGCAGGTAGGCGGCGGCGAGCAGGCGCCCGCTCACCAGGCGGTGCGTGTACGGGTCCCGGGGCTCGCGACGCATCACGTTCTCCTCGGGCTGCTCGTAGGCCAGTGAGATGGAGGGCCAGAGGTCCGTGACGGCGTCGATGATGAGCACCAGAGCGATGCTCAGCGGAAGCGGGATGGCGAGCACCACCTGCGATCGAGCGGGGGTTGTAAGCCGAGCACCTCTCCCTCCCTCTATTTCCCCTCAGGACCGGTTCCGCTGCGCGCCCCAGTACTTGCTTGCAGGATGAATGGGACGATCTCGGGGGCGTTGGAGGTGAGCACGTATGCGATGGACTTCTGCAGGTTGTCCGACACGACCCGCCCCTGCTCCACGGCCGCCACGATGGAGGAGAAGTTGTCATCGAGCAGGATCATGTCGGCGGCGTCCTTCGAGACGTCCGTGCCCGTGATGCCCATGGCGACACCGACGTCCGCCTTCTGCCGGACAATTGTTTCAGTTCAGTTCCTCCCCTTCCGACCTCCTTGGCCTCCTTCCTCTCTCCCCTCGTATCCCAGCGGAGAGCACCTGGGAGTTCGAGGAGCTCACCTTCAGGGCCGGTGAGTCATTGACGCCGTCCCCAGTCACCGCCACAATGTGTCCGAGGCTCTGGAAGCTCTCGACGATCAGGAGCTTCTGCGTGGGTGACGTCCTAGCGAAGACAATCTGTATGATTTGCATAAGGGAGAATCCATAGTCGGAATCTTTATGGTAGGGGATGTTGATCCTCGCCCCCACGCACCTCAGGGAAGCGATTTAGAAGCGCGGCGAGCATTTCCTTCGTGTAGTCGACGATCTCCGGGCCGGTCATCAGGAGGCAGGCAGCCTCCTCGGCGCGGACCTCGGCCACGGGCACCTTCTTGGCGCGGGCCACGTCGGACGCGATCTTCTGGTCGGGCGAGAAGATGCCTACCTGGCCCGCGCCCGGGGGCGCACGGGGACGACAAACGGACACCTCGCCTCAGGAAGGATTCGAACCCGAGCCCGACGACGCGTGGCGCACCGACGGAGTTCCCGGCCCAGCGCGCACCCCAAGGTTGAGGATTATGGCGCCGGCATGCGGGCCACGTTAACACGCGCCAGCGGCGAAGCTAGGGTTGTGCGAGAGAGGCGCGGAGCTTCGCCGGTAACGCGCACGCGCATGCATGCGTTGCTAACTAACTGTGCCTTTCCAACACAATTTTTAAGTACTAGGTGGTACATCCATTCGACAAACCAGGCGTGCGTGCGAGCTGCCTACTCGATCGGGCCGTTCGGTCAGAGAGATGTGCTGTAAAATTGCTCGTGCAGGTGCGTCCTGTACAGCACACCGCGCCCCCGCGGTTGCTACACCCTACGGCTGCCGCCCGCCCCGCCCCCCGCCTCACCTCCTTGGCGATGGACTTGGCCGTGGTGGGGTGGTCGCCGGTGATCATGACGACCTTGATCCCGGCGCGCCTGCACTTGGCCACGGCGTCAGGGACGGTCTCGCGCGGTGGGTCCTCCAAGGCCATGAGGCCGACGAACGCCAGGTTCTTCCGGGGGACGTTCTTGGCCGTGAACTTGAAGCCCTTTGGGAACGCCTGCACGCAACGGTTGCATTTGGATCAACCGACCGGTCACAGCCGCTGAATATCAATCAGCTTTCTTTGGCCAAGATGAGCTCAGATATGCGGCGTACCTACCTTGTCGTCGGTAGTGGACCTGGCGAAGGCGAGGACCCGCTGGCCCTGTTCGGCCATGCTCTCGCACGCGTCGTGCACCTCGGCGGCGAGCTCGGGGGTGATAGTTTGGGCCTCCTCCTTGCCCCTGACGCGTACGCGGTCGCACATCTCCAGGACGCGCTCCGGGGCGCCCTTGACGGCCACCAGGTGGCGCCCGCCGGGCAGCTCGTGCACCGACAGCTGGTACTTCTTGGAGGAGTTGAAGGGCTCCTCGTACACCTTGGCGTAGCGCTGCCTCGTCTCGTAGACGCCCCCGAAGCGCGCCTCGGTGAACTTGAGGATGGCCACCTCCGAGGCGTCGCCGACGGCCTTGCTGCCGTTGGGCCCCGGGCCTCCCGTCGTCAGCTGGGCGCGGTTGCAGAGCGCCGCCACCTGCGGTTCGCCGACACCGTCACAGCAGCCGCCGTGCCCGCCTAGGACCAGTCACGGACCCACCTGCACGAGCGCGGCCAGGCCGGGGTCGCTGTCCGCCGCCGGCAGGTCCGCGGCCGCGGCGTGCATCCCGCGGCCCTCCCACCACAGCCGCACCACCGTCATCTTGTTCTGCGTGAGCGTGCCCGTCTTGTCGGAGCAGATGACGGACGTGAAGCCCATCGTGACGACGGCCTCCATGTCCTTGACCATGCAGTTCCTGCCCGCCATCCGCTTGGCGGCCAGCGACATGCACACGGACACGGTGAGGGGCAGCCCCTCCGGGATCGTGGCCACCAGCATGCCCAGGACGAAGATGGTGCTGTCCAGCCTGCGGCACGAAGGGTGTCAGCACGCATCTCAGCCTGCGCTGCCGCAGTGGCAGTGGCGTGCGCTGAGCACCCACCACGTGTAGCCGAGGGCCATGGCAGTCACAAAGATGACGATGTTGGCCACGAGCGAGACGTAGGCCACTCCGCGCAGGAACGAGTTGATGTCCTTGTCGAGCGCCGTGTCGCCCGGCTCGATCTTGGCCGTGAGCTCGGCGATGCGCCCCACCGTGGAGTCGGCCGCGGCGCGGATCACCACGCCCTTGGCCAGCCCCTCCACCACCGTGTTGGAGAAGAAGGCCATGTTGAGCGAGCGGTGCGGGTCGTTGTCCGTGGCCACGGTCGTCACGGCCACGGGGTCGCTCTCGCCGGTCAGCGTGGAGAAGTCCAGCTTGCAGCCCGTGTTCTCCACGACGCGGATGTCGGCCGGCACGCAGTCGCCCATGGCGAGGTGCACCACGTCCCCGACGACCAGCGCCTCGGAGGGCATGCTGCGCACACGGCCGCCGCGCAGCACCCGCGACGACGGCCGCAACATCTTCTGGAAGGCGGCTATGATGTCCGCGCTTCTCTTCTCCTGCACACGTTTCACGTCGAGTCGACGGCAAATGAACATTGACAACAAAAGTTCGTCGTTCTGAGATACAAAATACTACCGTCGATTCAGCGGAACAACTTCTTGTTCATAGACGGAACTTGCCTGAAAGTAGCCGAACACGCTGGTGATGGCGATGATGATCAGGATGAGGACGCCGAGGAACAGGTTGTCCTTGGGGCCGTCCGGATGCATGTGCTCCTCGACCAGGTAGCACACGATGCAGAGCACGGCGGCCACCCAGAGCAGCACCGAGAAGGCGCCGAACACGTGCTTGAGCAGGAGGCGCCACCAGGCCTTCGGCGGGATGCGCGGCAGGGCGTTGGGGCCGTTCTCCTGCAGCCGTCGGCGCGCCTCGCCCTCGTCCAGGCCCACGTCCAGGTCCGTCTCGAGGCGGGCGCACAGCTCGGTCAGCGGGATGCTGTGGTCGTCGTACACCTCCTCGTGCTTCAGGTCCTCGAGCGTGTGGTCGCGATGGCCGTAGTGGAACACGGTGTTGTTGGACGACGTCGCCATCCTATGGGCGGACGGACGGCCGCGCACCCGCGCACCGTGCCGGCAGAGGTTAGGGTCGCCCTTAGCCTTGTGCACTTGCCGTTAACAGTCGCGAGCCAAGCAGTGTTGCCAATCGCAGCGCGAAAACCGCGCGGGTGAGTGCCGAGAATGCGAGCGCCTTTTCGCTTCTGCGTGAAGACCGACGAAAGGGCGAGATTAAAAATTAGAATTCAACAAAATTTTCGTAAATTCGAATAAAAAAAATAATTGTGTCTCCAGCTTAACAAAATTTTATGGATGTAACGTGCATCTTTCGTTGCATCTAATATATTTTTTCTGTTGTTGGAACAAAAGATGTGACCAGAAAGTACCAAGTTCAGCCCATGCCCATACAAAGGTCTCATAGCGCCTGATGGGTAGGCAAAAGTTCTCCTTCGGTGCATGCGTGTCTTGCGGGGTGGCCTACCCCGAGTCTCGCAGGCGCCGAGCTCCTGTAATTTGCCGAATGAATATGAGAGAAACTGACGAGCCGTGCAACTACAATTATTTATTTTTCGCTGTGTGAATATTATGTCAGTTGTACAGTACAATGAGGCAAGGAGTGGGAGTTGGGCGTGGTTGCTCTGGAGGGTCTTGAGGTTGATCGAGCAGAACGACGAGGAGGGAGGACAATCAATGGCTCCTCCCTCCGCCCTGCCCTCCCCCTCCCCTCCTCTCAGGACCCCCGCGCACCGCTGCGCACTCGAGAGCACCTCTAGTCGTCGAAGCGAGCTGATACAGAGTGCACTGCAGTGTAGTGGTTGTTTCCAAAAAGGAACAAATTTAAAAGAAAAACGCCCTACTATTGACTGGTATGTACGAGGTAAACTGAAAAAAATGTAGTCGCAGTGTTGTAACTTGTGGTATTTCGGTGGCACCAAAATATGGATTTGCCTTGATGTGGTGGAGGTGCTGGCGCTGATGGCGTTTAGTAGGGGTTACAAAAGTTGCTGCGTGTTGCTGCGCGGTACGGTCGGGTGTGCTCTACTAGTACTCCATATAAAGTCGCCGATAAGCTGCGGAAAGATGGGAGGCGATACCGCACGGCTTTCCAGTCCGCACAGGTGTGCGTGTGTGTCCGTGTGTGCGAGCAGTGTGCCCGTGTGTGCGAGCAGGGTGTGCGTGCGCGCGCGCAGGGACGACAAACCACCCCTTGTCCGGCGCGTCCATGAAGCCTCGTGTATCATGCATGCGTGACGTGTCCGTCGCGACACTTATTGCCGGCCAGTTGTAATGGGACTTCCCCACAAAGCGCTCGGGCAGCGGCAGCGAGCGACAGACACGGGCGACAAAACAGAAACAACTTTTGCTGTTTTCACAACAAAATCAGCGGGACAGAAAATAATTCTTAGCCTGTGTCTCCGCATTTCTCTCGTGATTTTTCCAAGTTCCGAGGGGGCAATAACTCCGAATTCGGATTTTTCTTGCAGTTCTCAGGTTGGTTCCTCGCCGTTGTAGCTGCAGCAGCGGCAGGAGCACTAGAGTGTGCATGAGAACGTGGAGGGGTCCCCGACCACTTGCATTCGGCCAATTACGCAAACAGGCCCCCTTAAACGAGATGGGGGAAGGATTTGGGCGTGATGCGCACGCATGCGACTAAACGAGACGACCTCTGCGTCCGAAATGCAGTGCAACTTCCGGCGCCGTCGTCGGTCGTCCCTCCCGTCACCGTCATCGTCGTCGTCGTGTTCGCCCTCCAGGCCGCCGCCAGTGCCAGTCCCGCACTCCGCCGCCAGGTGGCGCTTAACGCGCGAGCTGTTTGGCGGGAAGCGGGAGGGGCGGGGCGGGGTGGGGCGGGAGAGGACAGTCATCGAGTCTAGCAGCCCCGGTGCCGCGCCGCTCGGTCCCCTCAGTCCAGTCCGCTGCTGCTGTTGCTGGAACGTGTGTGTACGCACCCGCTCGTCCCCGCTCCGCACGCTCACGACCGACTCAACCGCCGGCCGGACCGAAAGGTTCGCCAGCGACCTCACCAGCGTCCTCACCGTGAGTACACCATGCCGCCGGCTGGGCGCAGCTTCAGCTGGGCCGTAAGGGTCGTAACGGATGTGGCACCTGCTGGCAGCTGCCCACGCAGCTGGCCGCGACCAGGGTGCCGTTCTCACCCTGCCGGAAATGCATCGACGTTGAAAAACCTTGATCTGACCATTGTATGGTCCAATAAAATTCAACGTAACATCCGACTTCGACGTCGATTCAACGTTGAGTCGACTGTCAATTTCTGGCTGGGTCACGCCCGCCCCGCGCCCGGCACGCACTCAGCCCTGATAACGGGGCGTATCCGCCACCTGCTCCTTATCGCAAATTCAACCCGCGATTGCTGGGAAATTATCAGGGCGCGGCAAAACAGCAAAACGGATCCCTAGAATGGTGCTGCTTTTAGGTACAGTACACGCCGACGTCATCCGCTGCAGAGAATGTTTCTCCCTCTCCCACCCCTCTCCCTCTCTCACTTGCTCGTACCGCCTCCGTCCCTCAGCTGCAGCTGGTCCTGAGGCTGGTGGTGGTTGTGGTGGGGGAAGTGCGACGGCCAACCCTGACCTAGAGAAGCTTCCCGGCGTCTGAGAGAGAAAGAGACAGGCACAGAAGGAAGGGAAAAGATAAAAGCGATACAAGGTGGGAGGCGAGGCGGGGAAGGAGGTAGGGTGACGTCGGGCGTGCCGCAGTGCGGCTGGCTGTCCTCTCCCTTTTGGGCCGCGCCGGCCGGACTGCACTAAACGCTGACCCGCAGGACGGTCATGGTCTCCGCGATAGAGACGCCTGCCGGGGAACCCCCCAGCAGCAGCGGACTCCGCCCTCGTCGCACTCACACTTGAACGCGCTTTCTGAATCAGTCGGCAGTCCCGCTGAACTTCGCGAATAGGCGCCTCTGCCCACCACGGTCACGTCTGTGGCCTGAGGCCTGGCCTCTGATCAGAAATGCTTATCCAAACGCGATAAGAATCGATATGTGTATATATTTGTAATTTGAAGGTGAAAAGCGCCGTCTTCTGTCACGCGTCCATCAATGATGAATGGATGAGAGAATTTAATAAACAATCATCGAAGCAGTGAAGCCAGCAGGTGGATGAGGAGAATGCCTGGTAAAGCTCGTCCAAGCCAAAAAGAGGGGGGGGGAGGGAGAGGTTGTCTCTCGGTGTCGCGTAACGCAATGGACAAGTAGGTCATTAGCGCCAGCATGAGTCGAGTTGTGAGCCGGCCCACGACCCGCGGCCGGTGTTGCTGTGGGTAGGCTGCAGAGACCTTATTCAATCACTGGCCGAGTCGGCCGAGTCAGCCGAGTTGCCCCGATGCAGCAGTTATAGTAGCTTTAGGAGCCATTAGCGCCCGGCGGCATCAGCTGCACCCGCCGTGGTGGAAAGACTCGTAAACTACTTTCCTTAAACAAGCCATCAAATAGTCGCCGCCGCGAACGGGGGAAATGCGCCTGTCAGTAAACGATCACACGGAAAAAAAAGAATTAGCTAAATTAGCTAATGCATTCGCTAATATGGCCTTAGATAAGAATATTAGCTTTCCTAGCTAATTCCCAGCTAAGAAAGCTAAAATATTAGCTTTCACAGCTAGTTGCTTTATTTTGTACACAACTGTTATGGCTAATTTATTAGCTCTCCTTGCTAAGAATTAGCTAGGAGAGCTAATATTCTCATCTAAGGCCATATTAGCGAATGCATTAGCTAATTTAGCTAATTCTTTTTTTTCCGTGCAGATAAAGTGAAAGAGTCCGGAAAGACCCGTCGCTGGGCCGGGGTGATGGGTAATCCATAGCGAGCACGGAGCCCCGTTCCCCGCAGAGCGCCGCCGCGACCTGCAGCAACTCGTGATCGGGCCGATCCGTCGAGGATGGCGGGGCGGGGCGGGCCGGGGCCGGCCGGAGCGGAGCGGGCCTTTCGCGGCGTGGTGGGCCGACCAGCACTGTAAACAAAACTGTCTGAAAACAAGAATACCGTGGCTATATTTTTACATTTTTAGTTTCACAACTTATGTCATCACTCATTTCTTTTGTCAGCCCCACACACTCGTAAAATGGGAGTGACAAATCTGCGGGACGACATCGTTGTAATGGCATTGAGCAACGATATTCTCATTTAAAAAAAAGCGGCGCGCCTCCTCTCTTGGTGCTGTGGTGCGACGGCGACGCGATGGGAGAGAAATGTTCCGTGTTTGACTGACACGGCGGGCGTGTCCTGCTGATGTGCGCGTACCTTCCACTATCGTCTCTCTCGCACTCGCCGGCCGGTCCCCGTCGTGCATTAGCCATTACGATGTTCGCCGCCGCCGGTTCCTCTTCCATCTCTTTCTCTCTCTTTCTTTCTCCGCTCGCCATCCATTTTCATTCCCCTTCGCGCTCCGCGAGGTGACTCAGTTGTGGGGGGACTCTCAAAAAGTAGGGGCCCGCCCGCGGCCGCCCGGCGAGTGCGACCTTCACCTTGACAAGGCATGGGAGAGACGGGCGGGGCGGGGCAGGGCGGGGCATCCGGGAGCTGCCTCTGGTGAGGCGGCCGCGGGCGGGCTGCTCACTGTCGCCCGACTCCTCGCTACAAATTGCTCCTCGGAGCGGCCCGGCCCCGCCCGCGCACTGCTCTCCTCTCGGAGGCGGGGCGCGGGGCCCCTGCGGACGAGTAGGTAGGCAACCCGCATCTCGGCCGTGTGGGGTTCTGGCCTACCCGCTCGCCCACGCACACTCTCTTATCGGAGGCGGGGCCCCTGCGGACCAGTAGGTAGGCAACCCGCCTCTCGGCTGTGCGGGGCCCTGGCCTACCACCTGTTACTCTCACACGCGCGTTCCGCTCGCCCCCACCACTCACGCGTGCCCGGGAAACACCCAAAGTCACTCGCCGCCCTGTTCCGTTGCGGACGTACGACCATCAATATTGACCGGTCGCGGTCGGTTTTGGACTCTAGCAAAGCCGAAAGCCCTCACGCTCGGGTCTGTATCTCCAGACTGGGCCGGCCGGCCGTCCAGTTTGCCCCAAATGATGGCG